TTTCCGCAGTGTGTGTCCAATCCACTTCCACCGCTTCTTCCTGATTTCCTCCTCCGCTGCAATCGGGTTTGTCTTCTCCCACAGTAGGTTGTGGCTGATGGTGTCTGACCAACACATCATGGGTAATTTTTCTAGTTTGGAGCTTGTTAAAATTACAGTTTGCGGTGTGAATCTCAAAAATCTAGTAAAATACTGTGGATTGTAAAGTCGAGAAAGTCTTTAGTGAGACGGTTATTAAGTTGGAATTGCATATTGGTAGCACTATAGCTCCAATCGAGTGGAAGTGCAAAGTAGGAATGACTGGTTTCGATAGTAGTGTCTGAATGATATTATGGTCGCCTCACAATTAAAGATTTCAAGGTGACGGTGTCAACCAACATCGATAGGTCTTAAATTGGGGCGAAAAAACCACAAACTGATGGTTAATTCTCTTTGATATATCACAGTTAATGTCAGTCTGTCATGAAGACAATGCTGAAATAGAACTACTTAACTAGGATCATTAGGATGGATTAAACAATAATTGGATTACACTATGAGACAAATTGAATTCGCGTTTGTCAATCAATGGCTATCGATTAATCGTAAAAGGATTGTTATATTCCAGTGATAATTACAATTTACAAAACTTAAATACACTAAATACCACACAAGTAGTTGTAGTTCAAATTTCACATACTATCGAATTTAAAGTATAACTAACTATATAGCTAGAATTGGAACTTTTCTAGCCTAAAGTTACACTAACCATCGTTGTAAGATTTAATAGTTTTTACAGAAATAACCACGTTCAGTTAACAATATCCATTTAGTTACAAATTACCTTGGTGGTATGTTCATCAGTGTTGATTTAAAGTGAAGAGAAAATTCTCATTTTAAACGAAACGAGAAAATGCTTAAAGGAAATAATTATCTCTTTGACTTTAAAAGAAAAGGGATCGCTGATGGGGATATCAACCAGAGTGTGAATCAATTTGTAAAGAATAATAGTGAGATAGTAAGCAATGAATACAGGACGAATTGAGTTTCGTTAAACAAACATTACAGTAGCTATACAGTAAAATGCAAACAAACAACATATTACGATGCTTAGTTTGCACATACATCTACGTGTTAATAAGTAAATAAAAATGTAAATATATTTAAACAGTTACATAAACATAAACAAACAGTTTTCTGCTTACTACATGTATAATCACAACAGCACCTACTATTATTCTCAACTGCTACCACTCTCACCTAAATACAGTTTACAATCCCATATTTTATATTTACATAACACTTTGTGCTTGCAAATGCTTTTCTATGAACGGCAATAGACTGACTTAGGTAAATCGTTTTGAATGTCAGAAATAAAAAAAAAACAGCATTATCTTTGAATTATTATCGCATACGGTATACAGATAGACTGTAGTAGTTAGTGAGCATTAACATAAGATGAGAGAAGTGTTTTGAAAAAACAACTTGTGATCTAAACCAAGTTAGTTGAAAAAAATAAGCATTAACTAACAAGAGAAAATTTTCTTTTAATTGAAAAATGCGTATACACAGTTTTGCACTCGACTTCAGTTAAATAAAGTTATGTTTGTTTAGATCGAATGATGTGTACTGACAGATGAAATATTCCGCGTTACATCACGAAGTGATCATAATGAAAATCAAGGGGCAGTAGAATGCTGTTTCATTTTCGAAGATCGATATCGATATGATAAAATAACAGCATTTTGACGAGGGATTACGTAATACGCTTGACTGTGGCGCCCATCATTGGATATATACTGTTTATCTACAGAAGGAGTCCACTACAGAAAAGGGAGAAAATATTCGGAACTAGCATTAGCTCACACAGACATTCCAAATTTGTACCTCATTCGATTTAGACTTTGTGAATCGCGTGTACCTACAATCAACTACGAGTGTTTCCATCAAACTTCGAAGTTAGAAATACTTGCTTCACACGAGGAAATTGACAACTGATAGCCGATGAACAGAAACCGACTGTAATAACTCAGTAATCTGGTGGATAAAGCACCTTGAAGAAAGATACGATGAGGGATGGTGAGTTGAAATCTTAACAAGAAAGTAAATATTCATTTGAATGACGACACATTCAATTGGTAAGCCTTAAACAGTACAAAAAATGAATGTTAACCTAAATTACATGATCACACTAAATTGTGAGAGTAGCAAGCTTTAAGCTAGTTTATTAAATGAATAATAACATAAATCTGTTTATCATACTTACTTAGACGAACTAGATTCATATTACTAGTCGGAAGAGTGTTAACACAGGTAGGGCTGTAATTCACTTGTTAACAGAATTAGGCATAAATCCATACGAACAACAAAAAATTATTTGATCTTCATTGTGATAAATATATCTTGACAAAAATAATTTAAGTGGCTACAAACTCACTCGAGTCAATCAAGCGAAATGACTGTTTCTTGTTCTGGCTTTACAACACAATCCAGTCATAGTATGCCGATATCAAAGACTTCTTTGTTAGTTAACTCGAATGAACGAAAAACGAACAAGGTCTATCTTGCTATTAAACTGTTTGGCTTACAAATCATATAATTTTTTATAAGTTAACCTACTTAGGATAAGACATAGTTTACACTGTATAAAATATGACGGTGTATATAAGAAAAATGAATCGATACACCATGGGTACTCCGCCTTCGAAAGTTCAGAAAAAAAACCCATAAAGTGAAAATGTTTCCTAATAATCAAATTATTAATTCATCAAATATGTATGCCATTTTAATGCTGTTTTACCTGAATTGAGAGAAGGCTTCACACACACACACAAAAAAAAACCAGATTGTTTGATAAGATACAAATAAAAGTGAATATTTAAGCGCGAGCAACAATCACTGATGAAAGACAGTTTGAACAGTCAGTGGCGTCTAATTGAATCAGTAAAGCATTGGAGATGAGAACAAATTCTACACAAATCCGTCTATCGATCGTTTCTCCTAATGAAATTTAGCTTAATAAGTATTAGTTCCATGAAATAATTCGATAAGGCACACCAATATGCACACATACAAAAAATATAAGTGTCTGGCATTCATTCATTCATACACTCACACATGTACACAGTGATAAGACATTAGAATGTGCCAGGTTTCAGGCAAAGGTAACCAAATCTACCGACGTTTTTCTCTTCCTCTAGTGAATATAAATATGAATATAAATATCAGTCCATACGCCATTATTATTATTATTATTATTATTATTATTATTATTACCTATTGTATAGTGATGATTCAACTGTTATATTCGATGAATCAGATAAATTATCAAACAATCTGTTACAAATGAAATAAATTACATCTTAGTAATTAATAAAGATTTTTTCGTTTGCTTTATTCATCATTGATGATAAGCTACGTTATTTTCTTAATTCGATTTGATGAAGATTAATTATTTGCATACAAATGATTCACAGTAGTAATAATAATAATAACAATAATAATAATAATGATAAACATCAATTTTGACTGTCTGTAGATGAACTTTCAATAATGATTGACGGTGAATAATTTTCACCATAGTTTTCGTCAGATATGATTTACATTCAGACAACAGAATAAATTGAATCTTCCAAAACTTGATTGATTAACTAGGTTCATGAGAGAGTGAAGCTAAAGTTTGTAAGGATACTTGAATGCCAAATGGAGGGAATGGTGTCCTCCAGAAAGTGAGTTCAACAGATATTATAGCACTAGCTCAAGATTCGAATGCGCACGTCGGGTGTCTAGGCACATGGTAGAAAGGTCAATAGAAACTTCTTGGTCGCAGGTCATATAACGGTGGTCTGCTGCTACAACTCTGCAAAACACAACCTGTTTCCAGACAGCACATTCAGCACCGATGTGCTACCTAGAGTCCTGCCTCTGCATTTAAACCCTAAATATGGATTGATTACATCGATACCAGCTACCGCTTATGTGATTGTGTGCGAGACTGCCGCTCCATTAGCAAAACTTTGATCATGCCCTTATTTGCGTTAATCTTATCTAACGTTATTGTACGTAGATAAACGTCAGGAAATTGGTTGCAACTTCTGTTGCAAATAATTATCAATCCTAAATAGGTTCAAGGCATGGCATGTACTTTGCACTTTGAAAGTGCAAAGTAATTTTACGAGACCGAAGACTCAGGACCTGCACCCATTCTTGGCAGTAAGCAGATAGAGGTGGTCGAAAAGTTCATGTGTCTGTGTAGCTGTGTAAGTGGTGGGGGCTGCAGTAGTGATGAGATAAATCTCAGTATAATGAAAGCCAGAGCGGCCTATGCCAATCTGGGCTACCTTTAGCGCTTTTGTGATGTTAATCTGGCCGTAAAAGGTCGGATCTACAACGCGTTGGAGAGAGCAGTTTCGCACTGTGCTTGTGAAACCTGGCCATTCCGAGTGGAGCAAGCTAAGCAACTCTGTGTTTGACCGTTGTTGTCTCCTAAGGATCGCAACACCAAGTTAGTAATATGGAGGTTCTGTAACATGTGTTTGGGCACAGCAACGATAGTTCAACTGGAACACTCACTTGGATGGACATTTACTACGAGTTTTGTGCCAGCGAATTCCACATCGTGCAGTATTTGTCAAGGCTAGGGCGGGTCGGCAAAAGTGGAAGTGCTCAGTGTATAAGATGGTGTAGTAGAATGAAAGTTCTACAAAACTGGTTTCTGTTGGTCCTTCGTGACCCTAGTTGGGATGCTACAGAAGTGTAGCACATTGGTTTGAAAAGTTATTAAACATGGCTCAGAATAGAAGCTAGTATGAAATCTGGTGCCCCTTAGTTTCAATGAACTCAAAGCTGGTGGCCAGAGATACTTTCAAAATGACAAGTAGTGGAGTGTAATACACAATATAAGCCGGTTGACTTGAACCGTTCCTTAATATCTGAGTAATTATCAGAAGGAAAACGGTTAACATAATAGCAAACTTCAAAAAAGATAACAATTTACAGATAGATTGTTTAGATTTAATTACCTGCATCACCGATAGCGAATGTGATCGGTTCCCGCCTGGGCTGATCGTTCACCAGCGCCAGAAACCATATTCCTTCATCTAAGTAATGCAAACGTCCAGTTTCACGTACTTCATCCTATGGAATTAGGAAGAAGTGGAGAAAATTAGAATAAAATATTTGACACTTAAGTTATTTCTGATCAATTAATAAACACATGAAAATTGTAAATATTTTGTACAAAAAAATATCGTTTCTTGTCACAGCGAAAATTTGAAGTAGACGCAAGCAGTAAGTGGCAAGAATGTCAATGTGCAATAGGAGCGCCATACACAAATAGAACTAATATGCTTCAATAACAAAATGCAGCTAAAGAATAATTAGCATAAAAGATAAAGAATCTTGAGAACTTCTCATCAATTAGAAAGCTGTATCTTTAATTTATTGTTATTATTTTATGAATTCTTTCTTCTTTTGTTTAGAATAAATTAATTCGAACAAACACATAACCAAGCGCAGTTAAACAAAATTAAGGGAAAATACTTTTGATCATTTAGGCACATACTACTTGAAATAAAATTAACCTTTTTCTGTAACGAAATATATCAGTTAGGGTCAATGTAATCGAAAAACAAATAATTTTCTTTCAAGTGGCTACTTTATCAAATAAACTTTGATTTGGTTAAAGAAATGAGGCAGGTGGTTGGCGTTTATTTTCTACTAAAATATACTAACTAGAAAGTTAAAACGTTCAACGTATAATGACTTCATAACTTTTTTCAAATAGAATGGAATAGATTAATACTGATGAACATTACATTCAGTATCCGTAGATGAGTACGAAACAAGGAAGCTAAAATAGGCATAGGGTAGCTAGCTGATCAGTACTATAATATCCGTATATCATTTAGAATATATTCCATTGTTATAGGAGTAGTATTCCAGGAAGAGAATATTGTCGGTGGAAAAATTAAAATGAGTTATCAACTTAGAAAGTTATTCAATAATAGATGAAATATGAAAGACGTGTTAGGTTCTCTACTTGAGTAACGCACAAAACCACTGTATATATAACGACCCCCAAACGTTAGAACCTCCACATCGATGTGAAATATGAAGACGAGAGACGTTGGAGAGCATATATTGGAAGATGCATTCGGACTAATTTTAACGCGATGTTGCCTCCTAAAAGAGTGAATAGGTACAGGCCAAATCAAAATATGCGCAGCTTTAACGTTGGCGATAAAGTGTTCCTAAAATCATATCTTGGGAAAAATCAATGGGAACCAGGAACCGTTGTACAAGACTAGGAAGAGTTTTGTATCGGATTACAGGAGCTTTCGGAAACTGTCAAACACGCGATATGATTTTAGAAACACTTTATTGCCAACGTTAAAGCTGCGCATATTTTGATTCGGCCTGTACCTATTCACTCTTTTAGGGGGCAACATCGCGTTAAAAATAGTCCGAATACTTCTTCCAAACATTGCTTCAGCTGGAGACTTTCCATCTGAGACCGTATGGTTCGGAGTGCTTCTGTAAGCCGTTAAAAATCTAGTGATTACTTGGCTGGTTGGCCCCTCGTCTCCCCCTTTCAGTAAAGCTCCTTTGAAGGTGTCAACGAAGCGTTCTGCTTGTCTATTGGATTGGGGATGGTAAGGTGGGGACCGTAGATGCGTTATGCCGTTTGAACTGCAGAATCGCTTGAATTGGTCCGCAACAAATTGTGATCCATTATCAGTTATCAAGGTTTCTGGCACTCCAAAACAACTAAATAAGGTACACAGCTTCTGAATAGTTTCCGAGGCTGCACAGTTCGGCATGCTGTATATTTCTGGCCATTTCGTATATGCATCTACAATAATTAAAAACATTTTGCCTGGGATTGGGCCAGCGAAACCTGCATGAATTCTCCCCCAAGGTCCAGTAGGTTTTCGCCATTGTTGGGACTCACATTTCGAAGGGTTTTCTGCGGCTTGTAAACATGAAGGGCAGTTTCGGCATTTGGTTTCTATATCTTTATCCATCGAAGGCCAGTAGGCGTGGCTGAGCGCCAATGATTTCATCTCGTTTATCCCAGGGTGACCGTTGTGAAACTGCTTGAGGGTTTTATGTTGCAATGATTCTGGAATAATAATTCGGTCACCAAACATAATGCATGAATCGATAATAGTGAGTGAATCGCGCCGGCGAAAATATTGTTGCAGTTCTCCTTGTGGACGACGATTCGGCCACTTTGAGAGGAGATAACCCTTAACTTCTTGTAGTATTTTGTCATTACTTGTAGCTTCTTTAATAGTTTTGAATGTAACTGGTAGACCATCTACTGCATCTTCCAACACTCGATGTACTTCTGACTCAATCGCTGCCACCAAAGTATCTTCTTCATGATTCGCTTGAGAACCAATGAGTCTAGACAAAGCGTCAGCTTGTCCGAAAGCAGTAGCAGGTTGGTACTTAATTTTGAAGTCGTAACCCAATAATGTGGTTCCCCATCGTTGCAACATGTTTGCAGTATAGACTGAGATCCCTTTCTTTGACCCAAATATGGTTGGCTAGCAGCGGTTTGTGGTCAGTTAAGATTGTGAACCTGCGTCAAAATATCATCTTATGAAACTTTATTACAGCAAAAATAATTGACGATGCTTCTTTCTCAATCCGACTATAGTTACGTTTTGTTGTAGTTAAAGAGCTTGCTGCATGCGAGATTGCCTTCTCTGGTCCATCAGGCATGATATGCGAAATGCTTGCTCCAATGCCGTAGTTTGAAGCATCTGACGCTACTACAATAGGAAGGGATGGGTCATAGTGTGTCAACGACAGATCCGAGAGTATCAGTTTTTTAATCTTCTCGAAAGCAGTTTGACAACTTTTAGACCAACACCACCGTATGTTCTTTAATAAAAGACTGTTTAATGGGGCACGTAGACGATGAAGGTGAGGGATAAAAGCTCCATAATGACTAACTAGCCCCAAAAAGGATCGAAGCGTGGGGACATGTGTCGGTCTCGGCATTGCTTTCAAAGCTTGAGTGTTTTCTGGGTCTGGTTTTCTCCCGTCTTTATCGATAATAAAACCGAGGTAGCGTACACTCCGCATGCAAAAGTTGCACTTTTCCACCCGAAGCCGGAATCCATATTCAGCTATTCTTGATAGCACCTGGTCGAGCTTGATTTCTAAGTCTATTCTATCAACGCTCATAATTATTATGTCACCCAGGTAAGCTGCAACGCCAGGGAGATCATGTAGCATAGTATGTATCACCTGTTGAAATATAGAGGGCGCCGTTTTAACTCCAAAAGGTAACCGATTATATCGGAATAGGCCCTTATGAGTGTTTATAGTAAGCAGATCTCTACTTTCATCAGAGACAGGAATCTGTAAATAAGCCTCCGATAAATACAGTGTTGCAAACACCTTACCTCCATTCAGCTTAGCGAAAAGATCCTCAGGTATAGGCAAGGGATTCTAGTGGGGTTCTAGAGCATCATTCAGTCCAGTAGAGTAATCAGCACATAGACGGACACTGCCGTTTAACTTCTTGACCACCACAATCGGTGCTGCCCATTTTGAGAAACTCACAGGTTCAATAACACCGATTTTTTGAAGTCGTACCAGTTCCTACTCAACTACTGGGAGAGAAACAAAAGGTACAGGTCTTTTTGGTCGAAAAACAGGAATAGCTGTTGACTTGATAGTCAGTAGTGCTTTGGCTTTCGTACATTCGCCCAACGCTTCCGAAAATACATCATGATGCCTTTTTATGATGGTATTTCTCAAACTTGACTCTAAAGGGTTGTTGATTCTAACTCGGCTGCATATATTGTTGGTAGGATGGTCTGCTAATTTTAATGCATTTATCAGATCCAACCCCAATAAATCGAGGTTTGGGTTCTTAGTTAAATAAGTATACAGTTGCACTCGTTGTTGCCTCATTTTTTGAAACAGTACACAATATTTCTCCAACAATATTTAGTTTGCCACCAGATGCGCTGTGCGCTAGTTGCCTCGTTTGGTGAACTGTAGGTCTTCCAATTTTTAGTTAGGATTTACGGGAGAAAAAAGCAAGTGCTAGCAATCCAACATATCAAGAAATGTAATTAGAATCGAGAGGCGGATAATGCAATATTACAATTGTTTCGCTCTTCATAATCCAACATGTTTCGTTTATCTGATTTGAACAGAAATTAACGAGGTTAGGGAAAGACATTGAACTATGACATTTACGTCTTTAGTCAAGTGTACTATAATTTATTTAGTACGTAGTTCACACCTTCTCCACACGAAATTATGATGTGACTGGTATCCATTTATGTTGTTAAATATAGATGCTGACCACTGGACTCCTCCTATATTTTGATTAAATGGAAGTATACCAACTTAAATAAAGCCTGAAATAAAGGGATTGATTTATTTTACTGACCAGTTCTAGACTGAGACAAAATAAATTTGCTGTTTATCAAACTGCAACGAAAGAAAAGCTATCCCTTTCTTTATTGATTTGCATTGATGAAACAAATCAATGTCGGACTCTCGTCATTAAAACATACTGGCAACTAATTCTGTCTGGAAGATTTGACAATATCTGTAGAAAATCTTACAATTTAACTAGAAACAGAGAAAAAAGGTTGAAAAAACAAAAAATTTCACTATCCAAATTCACCTAAAAGTAGATAATGTTTTTTTTCTTCCAAACTACTTCATGTGATTGCAAATAATCAGGTTTGTTGTACAGTAAGATTCGAATAAATAGTAAGATATCAACATTTATGTACGATTTGATTGCTTTTTTTATTCATATAAAAACGCATTGATTCTTATGGGGCTTAGCTTTAAAAAATATGGATAAACTCTCTTTGGTTATAGTACACGTGTTTATTTTCCCAATTGTATAGTTTGTTTAAAAAAAACTGTCGATTTATGTGTAAAAATATGATTTAAAAAATATAGCTGGTGTCGACATTAGAAGAAATGAATTTAAGGCGTAAAGACATACGATGAGGATGTACGAAGATGTAACTACGTACATTATTGTTTTTGAATAGTAAATTGATAACATATCGCATAAGACAACAAGTGGATAGAAACTTCCGATAAATTGCAGAACTAATCACAAAGATTAAAGCCTAATAATTTCGAAACGAAAAAGTGTTTCCATGCTTTCATCAAGCTAGAATTAAAATTTTGAAATTATGTTGTATCGGTCGTTGTCGGTTAAAACGATTAGGTCACGTAAAAAAAAAAACAATGTGGTGGTAAACTACCGACATTGTCTGCACAACCTTCGCAAACTAGACAACAACAAGTAAGTATTTGATCATAGTTTAAATTCAATCAACTGTGTAAACCTTAGACTCTCAGGTTTAGTAGCAATCATAACGCCATTAAAAGCTACTGGGGAAATAATAAATAATGGATTACATTTTCAACTTTAGTCGATTGGTGACCCTATCACATTTTACTAATTTCATCGTCTCTTTGAATAACTTCATAGGTAACCGTCGAAATTATATAAAATTAATCAAATTAGCGTAGTATCAACTGACTGATCTCAATCACTGATCGTCATGGTCTATATGAAAGGACAAAAGTCCTCTTATGAAAATCACACAGAAATCAGTTTAACTAATATAGTGTCTATAATGATAGCCTCGATAATAATTAGACGCCTAACTGAAATGCATGAAGAGCAGACTAGAGATAACCAGACTAGTTTAAGACCGAATATTCACACTAAGTCAGATCCTAGAACATAGAGACACATTTCGACGTCCAACTATAGTTGTATTCCTTGACCTTAAGGCAGCATTTGACTCAGTAGATCGTGAGGTTCTATGGCAGAATCTGTCATTAAAAGGTGTACCAAAGAAGTATACTCGAACACAACAGGTCGAGTTGAAGCTTATCGAGAACTGTCATCACAATTCATTACCTCAAGTGGAGTCCGTCAAAGCTGTCCACTCTCTCCATTCCTGTTTAACTTTGTCGCACAGATGCTTCTAGAGCTAACATCATCATCGTCGGACTCTTCAGAAGTGGACCTATTTCCAGGAGACACGCCAGTTGACCTAAAATATGCAGATGACATAGTTCCACTTGGGGAAGACACTGAAAAAATGCAGAGTCTTCTAACTACCCTGAGCAACAATGCAAGCATGTTCGATATGCGATTCTCCACCTCGAAATGCAAAATGTTGCTTCAAGATTGGCGTAGGCCAGATATCCGTTTGCTAACCGGAGGACGAGTGTACTAGGCAGCAGTTCGGTCCGTCCTACTATACGGATGCGAAACATGGTCGGTGAGAGTAGATATTCGTAAGCTATTAGTATTCGATTATAGATAACTTCGAAGCATTGCTTGTATATCCTGGGACAACCGAGTAAGCAATGCTTTATTTAGGAAACGAGTGCTAGGTGGCAGGTCAATAAATGAAGCAGTGGAACAAGTGTTACGAATGCCCGACTACTGACTGCCTCGACGAGCGGTATTTTGTGGTGTAGGAAAGTTAGGGGCGTCCAAACCAAAATATGGCACAAATCCATGAAATCACTGACAAGTGGACTGAATAATGTTGCTAGGTGCAGGCTACTTGGTTGGGGTCGCGAGACGAAAGTCACCGATGTTTAGAGACCTTGAACGATATGGCTCAGAATCATTTACAATGGCGCAGGTGCATTTATTCATTGTGTTCTCGCAACTTCTAACCTCCTGAAAATCTCATTATCTCTATCTTTTCTTTTTAAAGTTATCACACTGAATTATACTGCTTGAATAATATCTTGGAACCCTAATATTTTCAATTATCAGTAATACTTCTCACTATCTGTACCACTATGGGATTAGAAGTGACAATTGCGTCTCTGTGCTAATGTGGTACTGCAACCTGAACTTACGTACGAAGTTTTACGTTGTAACTGACTGACTGATTGACTGAAATTATTCATCACTAAATAGAAGTTTATTATTTACTGAAGTTATTATGTGGATAAAAAAAATTGACATTAGTTTAAAACCACTTGAGCAAATAAAACTGTATTTTCTAAGTCAATACATAAATATTAGAGGATTTCATTCAAGAATATCACAGAAATGATGGTTGGCTATAACTGTAAGTGATTGTAAAATTATTATTATTATAATTAATATTACAACACAAGCATAAACAGTTATCAAGTTGCTATACATTCTTTGGTTATTTTCGAAAAAAAGTTAACTATTTTTCGATGAAAGAAAACGTGTGATAATAAATAAAAGAGTATTGAAACCTACTTTTGAACTTAAATGAATTAAAGGCTTTGAATGTCGATTAGTTGATTGAACAGCACGTTTTGTACGACTACCTAACTCTTGACGACCAGAATTTGCTAATAAATTATGCCCAGTTATTCTGTCAAATATATCGTAGTGTACAATGGTTGGCATTGTGTTATGACGCATAAAGACACCAATCGATGAGGCTAACGAAGATACTGTAATATTGTAGCGTATGTAACGTGCTGTAGGCATATGCCATTGACCTGACCATGATTTCAGTGGCTCTAGAACAATATTTACAGGTTTATTTGGTTCTAAAATATATGGAGGTGAGTTCGGATTAAAAAGACCTGCAAGGCATGAAGAAAGACAAAAATAGTATGGATAGATGAATGACGTGACTTGTAAATAAACAAATAAAATCAAATATGAAAACAAAAAAACTCTCAAATTCATAAGCCACACGACGACATTAATTCATCTATTTACGATAAACAATTAATCAATTAGTTTATCTAATTCAATTCTCTTGAAACAAAACAAACCCGTTTGTAAAAATCAATAGAAAATAGCTCATATGAGTAAAGCGAGAAAAATAACAAACTGAGTCTGGCGTTTTAGGATTGATGACAGCGTTAGGTTACCGTGATTTTTCTCAAGTGGAACAGGGTTCTAACCTAATGAACAGTCTGTTGAAAATTAAGTATTGAAAACAATGAGCAATAAGCTATAGACAAAAAGTATCTAGGAATGCTTATTACATTCACGATAAAAAATGCTGCAAGTTTCAAGTGTTTCTGAGACATTAAAAAAATAACTTTTCAAAATGTTATTTTGGTGGATGAATAAATAATTTCGACACAATGCGTCAAGATATTGAGATGCATGTTTGATAGGTTAAGTTTATTGTAGGGCTGCACATTGAAGCAGTATAGTCAGAGAACTAGCTACTACTTACTTCAAACTAAGCTGATCATAGATACATATAATTGACTTTGTATTGCTACTAATACTTGCACGTTGTACAGAATAGTGCTAGTAGCATATTCGTTTATGGTCATTTCTGCCTCGTTAATCTTCAGTTGATCTAATTCTGAAATGGTCATACTAAACAACTTGGAGTTACGTTGCATAGAAACTGGTGATTAACGACAATACAAACATTCTTATACGTTGTCAGACTAATAGTTTGACGGAAACTGAATTGAAATTCGAATCCTGAGAAAATATCAATTTTATTAAGGTTGTCGATAAGCTTTCTTCAATCATTAGACCCCATATCAAGTAAAAAACCAATATGCTGTGAACTGGAGTCGGTTTAATGAATACAACAAAAAATTCACCGATAGATTACGAATAGTATTTCGAACATGATCATTTGACAGACACTGTAAAAACTCATAGTCAACTTTACGTAAAAGGGAATGAAATGCTAATGGTTGATGACTCGTAATATTTACAAATTGTTTTTTGGTGCAGACACTACCATCCACCAAATAACATTATACATCAACGAGTATGGAGTTAGTATATGCAGTGAGAGATAGTAGTGATAACAACAATAACGTAGATACACAACACAGATGTCAAAAACAGATAGATCACCAACTAGGAGAGAAAGGGAGAGATAAATATAAAATTAAAACATTGAGCGAAAACTTTATCGAATTGCATGAAGTCGATTTATTAGTTTGATGAAACAGGATTCTACAGCATTACACTAAATGTAATGTAGTTAATTCATGTACACTGCTAATCTCGTATGTGCTATTAAGGGTATGAAGGCGTTTGTCACTTCCCAGCTACCTGCACTATGGAAGAGTATTTCTTGAGGGACTTGAAAAGGAAGCTGGGTTAGCATTGGTCTTAGCGACCTAGGGGCATGACTGCAGAGCACAAGAGACAACCACTTGAGTTCTTTTGGGATCGGCCTTTTAATGGGAAGATTTTAACATGTTAGATGAGCACTTCGAAACACCTCACTGCCGTAGACGGAAATCTTTGGGTCAAGGTGAGGTGTGACATCTGTAGGGCCGATCTTTCCTAGCCACTTCGTTTCGTTGTGAGAAGGCAGAATCGCTGGTTATCCGAGCCGCATCAGGATTCATTCAAACGTTAACTGGTTAATGAGTCCTGAATGATTTTAAATATTGTGATTTTTGTTCTTCATGACTGAGGGAATGAGTTTGTTATTAATGGTTAGTACTAAAACGGATAAATCGAATTTCAATGAGCGTAAAAAAATTTCAATACAAATTACACTCATCGAACAAAACGTGACAATGGTAAATCAGTTTTTCCACGAATAACTTTATGAAGTTGGAGGTTATGGATGTTGCGCTCATGTTTCAACGGAAATATTTATTGAACAGCAAGCCCATTCAAATGATGAGTACCAAGAGGATAAAACAGACATTCTGGATTTGACTGATAACTTACATCAACCGTAAACAACAATAGAGGAGAATTATAAGGGACATACCATATCTATTAGGAATAATGAAAATGTTACACAATCGCAATAGCGATCATACTCGACTGATTCGTTGAATTAAACAAAAACTTGAAGCTCATTGTTAGTCAAAATTGATTTCAATAATCCAATCTAGATTATCAGTTTAACTGTCAGAAGAGAATAATTTAAAACTGATATATGTTCTCATCTAGACTGTGAATACTTGTCATCATAAAACACCCATATACAGTGATTAAAACTTACAAATATTTTAATACATACAATACTTCAAAACTCATTACCTATAATCGCAGGATCTTGGGCAAATCGTTCTTGTAACCGATGGTCTAAACGTTTTTTCTCTTCTGTAAACAATTTGTTTTTAAAGAAGAAAAGATTAAGCAAGTGTTTATTTACGAATTCATTTCGTAAAACGATTGCACTAATGCTTTTCATTAAGCGAAAAATCAAAAACTCAATAAATTAGATTTTCACTTGGCGTATAAGTTGAATAAATAAGATAATGACTTTTTTTAAATATAGAGTACCATATCACTAGTAAACTTTGTACTTCCCGTTCGTAATCGGCCATAGTGTTTCTCAGTATCGTAGTCCAGGTGTTACTTCTAAGTTAACTAAGGCGCAGCTGACCCCTTTAGGAATAATGCAACTAAGAGAAAACCCACTACTTGATATTGACATCTGTCAATATGAAATACGCCTAAGATTCAGGCTAACAGATTCTCCAGAAAATAAAACAAAATACTGGTTGACCTAACAATCAAGTTAACGTTACATACAAGGTCATAGTAACATGTGGAATGGTAAGGTCAACCAGTACAAAGGAATCTATTAACGAAAACGAAATAAAATGAATCATCTGAATTGCTAAGCCTTAAAGTCAGTGAAATAGTCAAATTCAGAAATCCATTTTTATAGGTTAACTAAGATTTTCAACAATGTATGTTCTAAACTAATATTACAAAAGATGGACCAATTAATTTTCAGTGAAGCTCTACAATCTCCACAACCCTACAATGTAAATATTTTATATTCCTCAGTCAAATAAATTGAATAAAGGTAATTATTCAAAACGTTTCGAATTCTAGACTGGGATACGATAACAAAATGTAACATAATTGTTCTGATTGATCCTCCAGTTCAGTAACCAATATCACGTTTATCCACTCTTTAGTGCAGATGTAGCTTCACTGATCTTTGTAATGTGTCCACTAGTTACTGAGACCAATGACTATTCATCGATAAATCGTGAATAGGGGGAGGGTCAGTCCCCATCAGATCGAGCATGTACACTGCTGGCGAGTGGTAATTAGGATGAAACCTTGGTCCCAGTTTAACTCCCGATCCTCACTAGCCACCTAAGAAAATGAGACAATTAAGTATCATAGGTATTACTTAAGGATGTTACGATCACAAATATTGTTCTAGTTTACATGATCGAAACACTATTCAAATTATTAGCAAAAACCTGTAGGGTACTAACAACGAAGAAACAGGTATGCTAAAAATCACCAAACATCGGCTGCAAGTGCTTGGTATTTAGGTTGGTACAATTTAAACATTACATAGTTGCACTGCTAAATTGATGCCCCTAAAAAATGATTTGCTGAAATTCGGTAGTTAAATTATACTGTAAGACATCGCGTCAAAACTGATCTGCATCAACAACATCTAAATTGATGATAAGGACCGAAGTAGTTTACCACTATGACCATTTAATTGTAAATCTCAGCACAGATTGGCTCTTGTCAACTTGCATCGCTTGTGAAGTTGACTAAATGTCTGCCTGCCAACTAAAGAGTGTATATACTGTACAGCGGTGTAATCTGTATTAGGTTATAGAGATGAAACATAGTTTAAGAAAGTAAAGCACATATATTAGCTTTAGGTTTTCATTGTTACGGTTTTAAATCTTCATCCACTGAGACGGTTGAGGTATGTTAATTATATCCAACTTCTATCTATTTCCAGATGTAGTGAGTCAGCTGGTGTATAGGTTTGTTGGAAGAAAGCTAGAAGTAGCCAAACCAAGGTATAGGTTGTCAGTAACTGACATCGAAGCAATATATATATATATATATATATATATATATATATATATATATATATAACCAAAAAAATTTGACAGCATGACTGCCTATATTACAAACATTACTCTTACCTGAAAAAGATACAGCTAGTACAAGTGCAAGAAGGAAGGCTAATATCAGTATACTAATAATCCAGTAATACCATGGACAATGACGTTTAGATTTCCTTTCAACTACAACCACTGGATCTGAATGAGATTTTGATTTGCCGCGTAAAGCATCATTCGTAGTGGAATATGTTGGTTCGATACTTCTAGTAGAGTCAAATAAACCGGGGTTATTGGAACGACCCTGCTGTTGTTGAGATTGTTGCACGGAAGATATAAATGTTTGAACAAGTGGAGAAGCAACATTATTATCATGTCCAATTGTACCATTCATGATGGAGACATTTTGTGAAGTACCTAAATAAATTGCATCATTTGGATTCGATGCATTGCTAGTCATAAATGATTGTAAACTGGGTTGACATAGAGATGAGGCAGGCAGGACACTGTTTGTTAAAAGTCTAAGGAGACAAAAGTCAATAAATTAAACAGTATATTGACAGAAAAAAAATACATGTAGCAAATTGCAGAAACTATTTTGTTAAGATAATATACATATATATGTTTTAGAGATCGATATTTGTCAGAATGATGAGAAACCCAAGGGAAAATAGTACGTTTTTCCAGTGTACTACTGTAAACAACGTGAACTAGTCATCATTTAAAATAGCCGCCAAAAAACTATAGGTAGTCAGTTGAAACTGAAACCATAGCATTTTTAAACTGAGAGTTTGCTGTCGAGTTATGGGAAACGCCTTATAATGAAGAAGATAGATGCAGGATATGGCATTGATAGGTTGACCATTAGTACTGAAAAAAAACTACATTTAAATGAAGTGAATTTCTAAAACTGAATGAGAAAATCAGGATGGAAATAAACAATCAAATAGAATTGTCAAATATAAACTTGAGATACTAGTGAAAGTGAGAAAAGTGTGATGTCGGGATAAGATTCTTAGAGAGGATAGCAATAATGACAACATACAAAACAAACGACCGGGCAAGTTTTAAAGTCCCTATGACACAGCAATAACAACAATAAGCACGATGGAAAGTCCACCATAAAAAAAAGAATAACAAATGTCAAAAATTATATACAATAATGATATTAGTTATTATCAGGCACAGAATATTTTGTCTGCTGGTCGGATAGAAAGAAACACGTAAGTCTGACATAAAATTTCAAAAAATTCACGATTACATGCATAGTTGTCATGGTGCAGTCTATATTGTGAATAAGGTTGACACATTTCATATTAACACAATGTAAGGAAATCAGAACGAAAAAAAGTACAGCAATAAGAGAGGAGTAGTAGAGGGAGGAAACTAGAAGGAATTAAGGAGGACGAAATAAAAACGATAAGATGTTTTACATAGTCAAACTGTACAATATGTAAACAACAAGTAATTTGGTTTAGTTTAACTACTTCAGTGTGATTTCAATATATCAGTCTCACAAACATTGATGAAAATAAGATTAATGTTAGTCTATTGAAAGTCATATTTCGTTATAATGCAGACCTAACACCTGCCCACATGCATATACCAAAAAAATTAGATCTAATGCGATACTTCAGTTGACTAGTAGTCTGGGTTAATTTTTATTTACACTTAATTTCAAGAGATTAGGATAAGTAGGTAGGTGAAATCAAATTAAATATTTTTACAAGTCAAGTGACATCTTTCAGTTTTATGACTGTTTATTGGTGTCATTGTATCGCTATGAATACTATATCTGTACTTCTTCTTAACCTTATTGCAGTTTTAAAAACAACACTATGAAAGAGAATAAAATTACTCCTATTAGGGAAATTCATAAGGTCTACACACATTCGTATACATATACATCTGTCTTCAAATCAGCAATTTAACTTAGCATACCCTAGAAAATATTTTACAGTTTACAAAAAAACATTACTTCATAAATTATATTTATCAACATGGTCAGTGCCATTACATTTAAGGCAAATCTCAGATTTAGAATCGTAAATGAATGAGAAAAGTTATCAAATAAACGATCATTATTTATTTAGTTATGTTAGACAGTTGTTGCCTTGAAAAGGGTGGTAATAATGATGATAATCACCATCATGGATTACAAATTATGCATATTGCTATTTCAAAAGCATAAAAAACAATCACTTCATTTGTCATTGGGAATATTTCGTACATTCCTTTTACATAGTTGCTTAACGAATGAATAATTCATTTACTACAACAAAACATTAAGCACTTGTGATACTGACAACCAAGATATTTGTTCACAGCTACGAAGCTTCAAGGCAAAGTGTGTGTGTATGTGTGCACACGAGAATTTGTAGAATAAAAACTGACGATTTGAAAAAGGATTAACACACAAATTTTTTGTACAGATGTAAAATATTGATCAAGGATATGATGTATGAAATTAAATTCGTGGAAATCTGAGGAATTGAAGTTTCGTCACTGACATTGCATTGTTTGGAGATCTGTTGCCAGTTTATTCAAGGAAATATTCAAAGATCAGTAGGATCGAAAACAAATCTATAGTAGGCCAGTTATCTAATGATGTCAATGTGGTTTAACAAATGAATGTGTTCAAATGGTACTACATGAAGTTGTGTATATAGGAGTATGTTATGATTATTGTTTCTCGGTAGAAATAGTAGTAGTATCTGTAAATTTGATAAACAGAGCTAATCGCTTTATTACAAACACATAAGGCAAGTAGATTCAGATAAGCATTTATGCTTAGGTAAAATGAATATAAAGTCTTGATTGGAAAACAGGATAGGTTATTTCAGTCATAATGTAGTGCGAAAAATTAGGGTGCTAAATACGAATAATATGATTTGTACTCCTAATTCAAAATAAATAAAAGTCAAGGCAATAACGAACAAAAATATTCTGGTAGTAATGCTGGATAGGTATAAATAACATCGAGATAAGTGGATATGTTAAATCTTCATAGGACTTCGTAAACGATTGGAATATACTAGTGATGCCACTACATTTATTAGAAGAAAGTATCTGTACCTTAAAATTTATTGATTTATGAATAAACAGAAACATTGTCTAGTTACCTATTACGGCTTAATATGAAGTCTTGAAGAGAGTTATAAAAAGTTTCAAAGCGGTTGCTATGATTTGATATATTCCCAGATAAATTGGACTGTTTTAGGAACAGAAACTAATCATCATTGACTCTTTTTAATCAGTGGATAATATGACAAGCCAATTTCATTTTCATCTATGCTGATTGTTATGATAAGCGAAAAGATCAAAATAAACATTATTATAACTGAAGTAGTCTTTGACGGTCACTGGAACATCATGCATACATACATACATACATTGACACAGCAATAGATACTACAATTTCAACAGATTGAGCATTAGATGAAACACACTCAAAATACAAAAAATAACAAAGATAATTAGTTTGTAATTTTATCAATTTTCGGTCTTGATTATAAAGCAAAGCTCATATACAAGGTATATAGACGACAACGAGGAATTTATTTGGTTAACGGTATACTTTAGAACACAGTGACCTGTAGATTAACATATTCAGTTTAATTAACTAGATTGATATATTTAGTTAGACACAAAGCGTCTAAAGTTCATAAACTACTTATTTACTTTTTGGTAGGATTTACAATAAAGAAAACAGGACAACCTGAGACAAATAATCGATATCCAAGTTGAAAGACAAAATTTCCAGCAAAAGGAATTAGCATACTTGAATGCTTTACATAGGTTATTTATGATTTGAAACAAACCAGCCGTAAACCATGTAATGATCCTGACATTTGTCAATGGTATCGATACGGACGTTCATTGTGTCCTTAAGATGACCTTTTAGAAAGAATGACTAGTACGCTTTTCGAGACATGAACGTGGTTATTTCTAGAACAATGTTGTTTGTATAGGTTGTTTCACTCACTATCTATCTTGCGTTTGAATTATTAAGACTACTGACCTGGAGAATTAAAATTCAAAAATTGTATAATCTTATGGTTGTTTATTTTTATGTACAGACTGTTGAATTTGAGAGATCTGTCAGGAAACTCTTTACTCAGATAAATTAAATCTGCGGTAATTAATAATAGAAATCTGGCGCACATCTGACGAGTCCTCAAACAGTAAGTTAATAGTTTGATGATTTCGTTTTAGTTAAATTACTACTGATATTTCAGTTTCACTCGGATCACCCTGTAGTCGGATGTGCAAGTTTGCCAACTGAGACCTCTAAGTGGATGTTACATGATCTAAGTGAACATACCAACACACTGAGATACAAATACACTTATTTAATTTCAAGGGCGCGCTATGAAACGTATTGCCATCTACTTTCAAACAATAACGCCAAGGTGCAATCAACGGCACTTTGGAAAACTCACTATATTAAAAACAATAAACCAAAAAAATAAAAGTTGAGGAACTTGGTATAGAAAATTGTCAGACGCTTTCTTATTCATTACATCAATGATCAATAATAAACTGAAGAAATAAGAACACTAATTAAGTAATGATGTAACAGATGTGAATTTAGTGATTAAGATGGCAAGTAGTGTGAATTAGAGAAGTTTGGGTTTTATCTTATTCTTTTATGAATGAAAGATTTTCTGGGTTTTGTTGCTAGAAAATCAGGCTGTTTATGTATTGTAGTTCACACCATCATAAACTGGAATTATTGACCTACAGAGACCGGTCTGGTAGACGGGAATAGTTATTAAGCGGATTCACCATTACTCATCACTTATCACTACATTGATCGTTTTGGTATAGTGTTTTTCAGTTTAACGATACGTTTACATTGCTGAATAACTGTGAAATGGAACAATTTATACGAATTTAGTCACAATTCATTTCAATATGGTTGTTATCTCAAATCACTGGTACATGATATATTCTCATTATTAACCAGTTCTTTATAATAAACAGTTAATAATTTAGTAAATTCAATGGCAAATTTAAAAGCACAATCACTTAGTCACATGGAATTTTCTATGCTTACATTGAATTGAATAAAATTGTGAATAACACTTATTCTGATTAAACCATGATCAAATTAGATTATGGCAAGTGTATTAGGCTACTTTACTCTCTCTCTCTCTCTCTCTGTTGATTTTTTCTTTACGGCATTCCATTTTTTATTTATTACGGAATGACTACGCCCTTAATAGATTTATTAGCAGTAAATGCGCATGCCACCTGCACGACTTTAGGTCTTTGTCGATTACAGAACAATGCATATTTACAAATTAACTTACCAGGAGCTAAAGTATATTCACTTACATAACACGTTCGCTAATCAATTGAAAAGTCTAGTATTACCATTAATATTGGAATTAGTGATTGCACCATTGCAGGCAAACAATATTTATTATTGCATATTTCTTGTTTGTTTGCGATGAAGACCGAAAATGCTCTAATGTAGATCATTCTTAACATTAGTACTATCTGAGTGTCTTCTAAA